GGATGGATGGATGGATGGATGGATGGATGGATGGATGGATGGATGGATGGATGGATGGATGGATGGATGGATGCAGGGATGGATGGATGCAGGGATGGATGGATGCAGGGATGGATGGATGCAGGGATGGATGCAGGGATGGATGGACAGGCACCCTGGCTATTGCTCTCCTCAGCACAAAGCAGAGTGGGTGTCCAGGGCTGCCCAGGCTGTGGCTGGGTGGCAGAAGTGTGCCAGGCCTGCTGTGTGGTGACACAGGAGACAACCATGGAACATGCTGCGGGAGCAGGGTACCTGGTGGAGCAGGGCTGTCCGTGCTGGCGGTGAGGCGGCACAGCGAGCTGCTYGTTAGTGACGAGTCTGGTGTGGTTATGGTGACGTGCATGAGGGCGGCCCCTGCTATAGGCTGCCCCCCTCCCCCCGTGAATGTGCTTGCAGAGATGACAGATTTCATGCTAATCCGCATTTATCCTGCCCTAATTACTCTGCGGGAGGTGAGGAGTGAGCGCCCAGACTTCCATGCCAAGGGCTGGCATGTGCCCACCCCTRTCTGATGCTGCCCGACGCTGCTAGCTGGGACTAGTGCTGGCACTGTGCCCACCGCCACGGCACCAGGGACAGCAGGTGACCTCTCAGGGTAGCACCTTGCATGGCACCTGGCATCCCTGCCCCACCCGGGTRGGTCTTAGTGGCACTACCTGGGCACCCACAGGTGGGCACTGGTGGTGGAACCCTGAGGTGCGGCGTGGCTGGGCACGGTTGGTGGAGCTCCGGGCTGAGCTGTGGGCCAGATGAGGCCGTAGCCGGCCGTGCCACGCTGTGCCACGCTGTGCCACACATTGCCATGCCACCTCGTGCCGTGCCCACCCGCCACGGCTGCGGCAGAGCAGCCAGCGTCCCATCACGGCAACGCGCCGTGCACACACAGCACTTTAAATGTTTTATTTGGGGAAAGTGCTGTCGTTAGCAGGGATTAATTATTAAAATCGGAGCCATCTATAAAACATGAGTGGCCGCACGCGGGGCTGCGGGTGCACCGGCARAGCCGGGCACGGTCCCGCCAGCGGCATGGCCGGGGGATGCGCTGCCACGGCGTTTGCCGGTCATGCCGCAATGGCACCTCGGCAGCGGGGCTGGGCTCCTCGCGGTGAAGTTGGTGCGGGCAGAGGTGCCACGGGGTTGAGAGCTGGACTGGGCACAGGCAAAATTGTGCTAAATCAGCGTTTGGGTGAGCGGTGGTCTCCGGTGCCAGCCGTCCCGGTGAGAGGTGGCAGGAGGCAGCCGGCAGCGCCGAGCTGTTTTTAGCGGCTGCCGGTGCCGGGGAGCGGGCGTGARGAGCAGCCGCCGCGGCACCGACGTGCCATTTTTAGAAACCGGCAAGTTTTGCTAATGATGCCTGTGAGCGGCGGGGGGGCTGCACCCCGGCACCCCCGGTGCCCCAGCAGCCAGCCTTGTCCCTCTGCCCTCCCTGCCTGGCTCTGGAACCTGCAGCTGGGGGCACCTGCACAGCACGGGGCACCCCTGCACCCACCCGAGCCTCTGATGGTCCTCAGGGAGCTCTGCTGGCCCCCGGAGAGCTTTGGTGGGTTTTTCTTGGGGAGCTTCAGTGGCCCCTGGGAAGCTTTGGGAGCTCCTAGGGATCTTTATTGGTCTCTGAGGAGCATTGATAGCCCCTGGGGAGATTCAATGGTTCCTGGGAATCTCTGGCCCCTGGGTTTTCTGCTGACCCCTGGGGGAGCTTTGATGACACCTGGGGAGCTCTGCCGTCCTCCAGGAAGCTTTACTTTACCCCAAAGCCTTCCAGGTAAACTGTGCAAACCAAGCCCCCTTACCCCATCAGGGCTCCAGGGACAAGAGCCAGCCCTGGCTGTGACAGGAACCAAGAGAGTGGAGAGGTACAAGGCTTTGTGTGCTGTCACCTACACGGGGACAGGCCACATCAGGAGCTGGCCAGGGACAAGCAGCCACAGTCATCTGTGCCCAGCCCGGTGTGGGGGCAGCCCCGGCCTCACTCGTAGTGTGGTCACCGACCAGAATGGGCTGATGGAGCTGTGACACTGCGGGGGACACCACGCCTGGTGGCCAAGCCGGGTGGCACCCCAGCTGTGTCCCTTGACGCCTTCAAGGGCACACGGGTGCCCTGCGACCTTTATGGGGAGGGCAGCCCTGCCACTGCGCACCCCCACTGCTGCTCATCCCAACAAAGGGCCAGGGGTGGTGACCGGCAGCTGCACCGCCTCTTTTTCTCTCCCCCTTGCTCCCCGCCGGCCCCCCGAAAGGAGGGATGGGGTTTATTTGGCCCCGTTGCCGGGCCGACGTGCGCAATTATCGCTGATTGCCTGGCGGTTGCCATGGCGATGGCAAGCACGCAGGGATGCGCTGCCGCGTGGTGCTTGAGTCACGGACACGCTCAACACCCCTCACTGCACCCCACTGCACCCCACTGCACCCCACCACAGACACGCTGAACATGCATCCCACTGCACCCCAGAACAAACACGCTGAGCACCCCCTGCACCCCCCAGCACCATCTGGGCTGGCCCTGCATCCCCTTCACCTCCCTGGGGCAGGGGGATACAGAGATACATCCTCCAACTGAAGCAGGGGGGTTTGTCCAGGTGTCCCCCACCCCATGTCCCCCATCCGAGGCAGAGCTGTACAGCCAGGTGCCCCCAGCCCTGGCAGCCCCACCTGGGGCATCCCAGGCTCACTGTCTCCAGAAGTCCCACAGGAAAAATCAACCATGCCACCCCACATCCGGGTCTGGGTGTAGTCCCACAGGAAAAATCAACCATGCCACCCCACATCCGGGTCTGGGTGTAGTGGGAAGGGGGTGGGTGCATGGGGCAGTGGGACACGGCACCGCAAGGACAAACACCACCGGGCTCAGCAAAGCCCATCACTCCAAAATGGGGCCAAGATCTGAACCAGAGTCAGGACCAGGAAGGGACSAGAGCACAGTGATGGGACCCTGTGGCAGTGTGGCCACGGGCAGGAGGAGGCTGGGTGTCAGGAGGTGACAGGCACGAGCTGGGGTCAARGGATGAGAGACAAGTGCCATCACATCCCTCATGCTGCAAGCCACCGCCAGGCAGCCCCAAGCCACGCGAGCGCCTGCCGGGTAATTATGACTTACGCTCCAGGTCCCCGCGAGGTGCAGAGATTAATAACCGTGGCGCGCTGCTGCCAGCCGCTATGATTAAACTCTTGATTAGAAGCTCAAACTACAGTGCCCTGCTAATTCCCCCTGCTCTCACACACCCTTAATTACCCAGCACAAGTGGYGGTGGGCCCGGGACTCACAGGGCTCAGTGCTACACAAGGGACTGGTGCCCGGGGTACCCTGGCTGGCTCTGCCTTGGGGTGCTGGCTGGTCTCCTGTGAGCAGAGGGGAGATGCTGGCTTTGGGACCCTGGTGTCCCACATCCATGGCTGGGGGGGCTGTGGGTCCCAGGAGTGGATGGCCACATCCCTGTGGTGGCTGAGGRTGGTGCGAGCCAGGTGGTTTGGGGAGCTGGGGTTTGGTGGGCATAGGGGTGGGAGGGAGGGAAGTGRGGGTGCAGYTGGGAAGCGGCACCATATGGGCCACAAATGCCAGCGTGCAGCACACGGCTGGCAGGGAGGCTCCGCACACGTGGCTGCACTGCGTGAGGAGCGGGGGGCGAGGGGGCTGGGGAAGGGGCTGGCACCCTGCTGTGCCCTGGGGGCCATGCTGCCCACCCCAGGCTGGGTCTCGTGCTTGGGCTGCAGGTAGAGGTAAGAGAAYCAGGGTGGCCGATTTCTTGTCCCTYTATTACTCCTTGCCCTAAGCTATGGGGCAARGACAATCCCTGTCATGGGGAGGTGAGCACCCACGGGCCTTCAGCCCTGCCACTGCAGAAATTGCCTGGTTCCCACTGGATGATGGCACAGAGGCAGGAACATGTGTCTGCCCAGGTCCTCATGGTGCCTTTTAGTGCCCTCAAAATACAGACACCTGTCATGCTGAGCCCATGTTCAACTTTCTAAAATCCTGCTCCTACCCCTTCTCATCCCACTCTACCCCAACCTGCTCCATCCCTTCCCATCCCACAYCCCATCCCATCCCATCCCWTCCGGGGCCGGTGGCCACGGAACAGCCCAGGGGCTCACTCCAGAGGGGACAGTGGAGGTCACATGGGCTCTCTGGTCCCATGACGGCCCCAGTCCCCAGGGCGTGGCGGTGTCCCAGCTCGGTGACAGCCCCCGGGATCCCCGCCCGCCTCGCCCGCCGCGGTGCCGGTCGGTCCCAGCGCCACGCGTGACCTGTCCCCACGGGCGGGGCGCGAAGTTTGGTGGTGACGTCAGGGGCGGGGCGGGGCGTACAAGGGGGCGTGGTCCTACGGTCCCGCCCCCCCAACTTGCCGCGCCGGGCGCGCGGGGCCGCGCCGCGACGGACCGACGGCTCGGCTGGGATCGGCTGGGATCGCTGGGATCGGCTGGGATCGGCTCGGCTCGGCCCGGCTCGGCCCCGGCCCGGCGCGGGAGGGCGGGCGGGGGGGGCGCGCTCCCCCCGAGCGGCGGCCCCGGGCCGCGGCCCCCCGTTGCGGTCGGAGAGGCGTGCAGGTGAGCGCCGCGCCGCGCCGGACCGGGGGCGAGGGGGCCGGGCCCGGCGGGGGGGGCGTTGCTGGCATCTGTCACTGGCTGGCCCGGGGTTGCCCCCAACTCTCCTCCCGCCCCCGGTGTCCCGGGACGTCCCGACGGGGCCGTGCGTGTCCCTGTCCGGTGCGCGCKCGCCCCGACGGCTGCCCGCCGCCGCACCGCCCCCGCCGGCACCCCGCGCCCCGCAGACCCCGAGCCCCGACGGGCCCCGCGAGCACGGCGAGCTGCCGGTGCCCCGCTCCCCCCGCGCCTCCCCGCTCGCTCCCCCGGGCCGCCGCTGCCCCGGTGCCGCCCCCGTCTCCGCGCGGAGCCCGGAGAATCGGGCTGGCACCGCGGCAGGGGATGCTGCCGGGGAGCCTCTCCCCGTGCCCCCGCCGCCGAGCATCCCCTCCCGGACCCCGCACCTCTCTCTCCCGCAGTCCGCTCCCTTCCCGCTGCCGCAGCGCTCCGAGCCGGCCAAACGCAGCCCTCCCTGCGGTGCGCAGCCCGGGCTGTCCCTCCGCACGCCCCGGGCCAGGGGCGGTGGGACTCCCCCAGCCCTTCCTCAACCCCAGCCCGGGGGTCCGCGGGCAGCGCTGGGCCGGCCGGCCCCTCCGCCTCCCCTCTGCCTCCCGCTGCCTGCCCGCTGCCTGCACTAGGAATATTTCGGTCCGTCTTAGCCCGGCTGCATTTTCTGCCTCTCCCCAGTACATCCTTCCCCCGGGACGTGGGGGTGGGATGGCAAGGGGGACCCCACCACGGACATGTCCAGGGAAGCTGCAGGTGGAAACAGGGCTGGAGATGAAGTACCGGCCAGTGCTATGGGACAGAGCTGGGGGTCGGGGGGTTGGGGGGCTCCGCTGGTGAAGGCTGCACGGCTGCGTCATCCCTCTGTGCCATCCCCACCCGGCCACCCACTTCCCCGCTATTGTCTTACACCCGCTGTTGCTTCTGCTCCCAAATTAGACACTTGGAGGGGGGTGCTGGCTGCGTGCGGGTGCCAGCGCAGCACCGAGCATTACCCCGGCACCCCGGGGAGGGAGCACTCATCCTTTCGCCCACCTCATGCCTGGGTGCCCCTGCCACGGYGGGGGTGCTCTCACCTGTGGGGCGCAGGTGATGGCCCCGATGTGGGGCTGAGTGCCAGCCTCCCTTGCAGGGTATCCCAGGTACGCTGAGCCCCCCAAAGCCAACCTGGGGCAGGGGAAGGTAGCAATGCTGAGSTCTGGCAGGATGGGTCTCCACTAAACCAACGGGAACTAATTTTATGAGCGCAGATTAGCTGAGCGCTCCCAGAGACAGCAATAAAATCCCAATATATCATCCCACCCGGGTCCCCTTCCTGGCTAATCCTGGCACCGTGCTGCCAGCGCTGGCAGCCTGCCTGCCCGCCCGCAGGTTAGCCCTACCCCTGATGGTCTGTGGCACTGAGCCCACCGCCACACCAGCAGCTGCCAGGACAGCCCTCATTCCCCTTGGCCAGGTACAGTAGCACGGCAGAGCCAGTGCCGTGCGACATGGGGACACGGAGGTGCCAGGCAGGGCACGTTTGGTGCAGAAGCTGCTGGGATGACTCAAGCGTAGGCGAGGAAAGCCTCACCCAGTCTGTGGCACAGGCAGTGGTGTCCCATGGGTGCTCTGCTTCTCTTTCAGGACTTGGTGCATGCTGAGCGGGATGGGGGCGGGTTGTCTTTCCTGGTGAGGGCTTTCCTGGCAGGACGGTGCCTGGGTGCCGTGTGAGCTGGGAGCTCCCATCGTGCAGAAATCACACTGGCAGGCATGGAGGCAGGTCAGCCCCAAGGGATGGAGGCAGGAAGGAGCATCCCCCCATTCCCTGGCTCACCATACGTCCCACACAAGTTTGGGTCAATCACCCCAGGGAGCGCTTAGGCACATGTCCTGGCTGCTGCAGGCAGCACGCCTTCCTCCCAGGGYCCGCACAGCAGGGATGGGGCCGTGCCTCTGCAGGCGGGTCGGGCGCTGCTGGGTGCTGCCGGGTGCTGCCCGTCCCTGCCCCCTCCAATGGATGTGCCGCTTTCTGCATCTTCAGCTCCCATTGCCATAGCAACAGGCTCGGCGCTTGGGTACCCGCGATACCGGCTCCCGCATCCCGCAGCCATCCCGCAGCCATCCCGCAGCCATCCCGCAGCCATCCCGCCGCCATCCTGCCCGCAGCCCTCACCACCAAGCCCCAGGCGCTGCCAGTATGGCACAGCCAGGCTGGCACAGCACAGTGTGGTGTTAGGGGAGCTTTAGCACTAGGTGATGGGTGTCCCCAGCATCATGCCAGCTTTCCATCACAATGTCCCGCTCAGGCCCATCTGAGAGGGCTGGGGGGCCCCAGGCAGCTTCTGTCACCTTCTGAGCCATCAAAAAATAATGTCAGCTCAAACTTCCTCCTGGTAACAGGGTGGGAAAGGGAAAAAATCACTTTATGAGACCAATTTTTTGTTCAGGGAAGATTCCAAGAAGGATCTGGTTTTGAAGGTTTCCCAACAGGGAAGCAAGGGGCAAAGCATCCTTCCTAAAGGCTGGAGAAGCTGGCGTGTGCCAAAGCTGGTGTCCTGACCGCTGCCAGTGGCAGGAGGGCTGGCACCTCCGAGCTGCAGTGCCACCTGCCTGGTGCCACAGACAGGGCTGATGATAAGGGATGGGAAGCAGAGACTGGTGTAACCCACTGCACATGTGACAACGTGTGACACTGCTCTGCCTGGGGAGGCCCCGTCTGCTGAAATGTTTCCGTGGGCAAAACTGGGCTCAGAAACGAGAAAGGATCCGTTCACCTCCGCTTGCCTCCCCAGTGGGTGCTCCAGGCACTGTGCTTACCATGACTGCTAATTAACCATCCATAATCCRCAAACGGGGGCCGGAGGGGCCAGCTTGTGGCTGTGCTGGCAGAGGCAGAGGGGCTGGATGCCACGGGGATGGATGCACATCGGTGGGGCTGGGCACATGGCAGCTTGCAGCAGCTGCAGAGCACGAGCAGCCGCTGTGCTCAGGTTCCACATTAATTCTTCGTTAATTAGCGCATCTCGGGAGGGTCGGCCGTGGCTCCAGGGGGGCTGCTGGTGCCGGGGCACTCACTGCCTCTCCCTGCCCTGCCAGCACCGGGCCCTGCGATGCCGTTTGGCTGTGTGACGCTGGGAGACAAGAAAGATTATAATCAGCCGTCCGAGGTGACCGACAGATATGACCTGGGCCAGGTCATCAAAACGTGAGTTGGTCCCTCTACGGCCCCACGGATGCCCAGGGGAACCCCAACCACCTATGTGGGGCTCTTGGGGTGCTGAGGAGTGGCACAACACTGCTTGTGGGGACGCTTGGGGTTCTGGTTCCCAGCAGGGCTGGGAGTGCAGGGTGTGTTTTGGGGTGGCTGTACTCTATAGTCCCTCTTGCTCGTGGGTGGACGGCGGGTATTCACAGCTAGCTCTGAGGAGGGCAGTGAGCTTTCCCACCGCTGCTGGCTGCAGCTGGGCAGCTCCCTGTATCCCTCCCTCCTTCCCTCAAGATTTGCAGGGATTGCAGCAATTCCACACCATCCCGGCTCCTCCGAGTGCTTTGTGAAGCAGCAGGGCTCCGCTACAGCAAAGGAAAGGCAGATGTCACTTGGGGGGCAGTGGAGCACTGCTGCTTCCCCCAACTTTTATTGCCGTGCTGGGGAACCTATKAAGATGCACTCCAAGAAATTGAGCCCTCACAACCCGTTGAGAGTGGCTTGACCACAAAATATGCACCAGATTTTTTTCCATCAGCTTCCAAAACACCTGCTTGGCCCCAGCTCATGCCTGGCAGGGTCACATTGGATGGCTGTGGGGACCTTGRTGCTCTCAGATCTTCGCTCCATCCTCTGGGCAGCTTGTCCCARAGCCCACAGGTCACTGTTCCCTTGCACCCAGGGCAGTGGCCACGAGGATTTCAGCACATCCGGGGGGATTGGAAAGCCAAAGGCTTTGCTGGAGCAGTGCCGAGTGGCCCCAGGGGCTCCCCTGCAGCTCCAGCCTGGCCGATGGGCTCAAGCACCATTAATAATAGAACAGAAATACTGCAGATACCGGCACATCTCCTCTTTTTCTCACTGACCACTGTGCTGATATTGATGTTGGGGTGTGCTGCTGTTCCACCTTGGCATAGGTGGCTTTGCAGTGGGTCTTACCCCTACTATCATCAGGAGGGGGCTTTTAACCAGCAAATATTCCCCTTTCCCTATCAATTTGCTTCTTCTATATCAGTTGCTTCTTGCTGCTGTTTTTTTCTTCCCCTCCAAACTGGTTTTTAGCCACAGCTTTCTTCCACTTCTGTGGCATTTCCTGTGATTGCTGGGATCTGGGGGAATGCTGGTGGCCCCAGAAACCACCCGAGCACCCCAGTCTCAGTGGTCCTCAGGAAGGGCGTGATGGYTGGGGGTACCCTTGCAGGGAGGAATTCTGTGAAATCTTCCGAGCCAAGGAGAAGACGACAGGGAAATTGTACACCTGCAAGAAGTTTCTGAAGCGAGATGGGCGGAAAGTGCGGAAGGCAGCCAAAAACGAGATCATCATCCTCAAAATGTGAGTGCTGGGGCCGGAAAGGATCCTGCGCTACTGGGCAGATTGGGAACCCCCACCTGTGTCCCTGTCTCTCTRCAGGGTGAAGCACCCCAACATCCTACAGCTGGTGGATGTCTACATCACCCGCAAGGAGTATTTCATCTTCCTGGAGCTGTAAGTTTGGGAGATGTGGGGGATGGGGGGTTGTGGGGTGGCCCCACAAGGGGTGGTATGACAGAGCTGCTGTCTGCAGGGCCACTGGCCGGGAGGTCTTCGACTGGATCCTGGACCAGGGCTACTACTCGGAGAAGGACACCAGCAATGTCATCCGGCAGGTGCTGGAGGCTGTTGCCTACCTGCACTCACTCAAGATTGTCCACAGAAACCTCAAGGTGGGTGGCAGGGGGGTGGGAGCACCCATGGGGGCTGCCATGCCCCCCGTCCTGGCACTCACAGACCCTGCACTGGCAGCTGGAGAATCTGGTGTACTATAACCGCCTGAAGAACTCCAAGATCGTCATCAGCGACTTCCACCTGGCCAAGCTGGAGAACGGGCTCATTAAGGAGCCCTGCGGCACCCCCGAGTACCTGGGTGGGTGAGAGCCYGCCGGGTGGGTGAGAGCCAGCTGGGTGGGTGTGCAGGGGTGGGCAGGGCTGGGTCCCAGCAGGTCCCTGCTGCTCCTTCCACTCCATTCCTTACTCCCTGCTGCTGAACCTCCCGTTCCCCATCACCCTGGGGGCTCCTCCTGGGTGCTTCCAGTGGGCCCCTCCCACTCCTCATCACCCTGGGGACTGCTCCAGGGTGCTTCCAGTGGGTGCCTCCCGCTTCCCATCACCCCAGGGCCAAGAGGCCYGGGGGCTGGGGACCCCGGGGCAGAGTTGCTCTTCTGTCCCTCRCAGCTCCGGAGGTGGTGGGGCGGCAGCGATACGGGCGGCCGGTGGACTGCTGGGCCATCGGTGTCATCATGTACATCCTGTGAGTGTGGGGTGAGGGACAGGGTAGATAGATGGGCAGGGGCTGGGGCCGGGGCCAGGCTGAGMCCCCTTTCCCCACATTCCCCAGCCTCTCGGGAAATCCCCCTTTCTACGAGGAGGCAGATGAGGATGACTACGAGAACCATGACAAGAACCTCTTCCGCAAAATCTTGGCTGGGGACTACGAGTTCGACCCACCATACTGGGATGACATCTCGCAGGCAGGTGAGCCCCACACTGGGGGATACGCGGGGTCCCGTGTTGTCCTCCACCGGCACTGACTTCTCCCCCTGTGCCCTCAGCTAAGGAACTGGTGACGCGCCTGATGGAGGTGGAGCAGGACCAGAGGATCACAGCGGAGGAGGCCATCTCCCATGAGTGGTGAGTGGCGGCAGGGTGAGATGGGGAGCCGGGCGGGGGGCTGGCAGGGGCTGCTCACCTCTCCCTGCCTCCCCAGGATCTCTGGGAATGCTGCCTCAGACAAGAACATCAAGGACGGCGTCTGTGCCCAGATCGAGAAGAACTTCGCTCGGGCCAAGTGGAAGGTGAGTGTGCGCCTGCGATACAACAGTGTCAGCTCTCAGCCAAGCCTGGTCCCCCATCATGAGGCCATGAGCCTGGTGGGGCTGCCAGTCCCYGCCCCTCCGCCAGCCCCATGTCCCCCCGCCTCTCCACCGCAGAAAGCCGTGCGAGTGACCACGCTCATGAAACGSCTGCGGGCGCCCGAGCAGTCAGAGACGGCGACGGCCCCGGCAGCGACCCCAGCCCCGGCAGCGGCCCCAGCAGCGACCCCGGCCCCGGCAGCGGCTCCAGCAGCGACCCCGGCTACGGCAGCCACCCCGGCCGCTGCAGCTACCTCGGCCCCGGCTGCAGCCCCGGCCGCGGCAGCGTCTCCGGCTCCGGCAGCGACCCCGGCCCCGGCAGCGACTCC